CATCAGTTCATGTGTAAACAGTACCTTTAAACAGTATGGAATATTTTGCAACATTTAGTTTAGAACAGCTGCCTGAAGTAAGTGGCTATATATACACTAGTGAGTCTAAACTTTTGAAGGGTAGTATATATTACATGTGGATACATAATCAGTCTTGAACACAACTTAAAACACCATTTCAGCTTCCCTCATCTTTCTGAAGCAATTCTTAAAAAAATACGATAGGCAAACATAAGCAGGTCTATCCGTACCCCCAAAAACACGACCAAAAATTAAAGAAACTTATAAACAAATATTCAGCGCCAAATAACGACACTAATTTAACAGTGAGCGTCAGGAAAACGAGGAGCCATTCAACGCATGCGCACCAGCATATGTAAGAAAACATCCGGCGTTATTTTAATTAGAATATGGGTCCCCCCTGCGTTGAAAGCCAGGATGTCTCACAAATTATATTGTATCCGCATGGTGCATGTCAATAATTACCTCCCTTTCCACATCCAGATTGCCATATTTTCCAGTAATATGTATCTAATGGAGGCACATCGGCAGTTGCCCTGCGGTTCTTGGTCGTTATGCTCATCAGACCAAACATATTGACACGTTCTCCTGTATCGGCTGAAAACTTCCACTTTGAGTGGCAAGAAATTTGCAATTTTCCTTAATACCCCTTCTGAAGCTTTACTGTCATATCTATTCAAATTCTGGACCTATCTGTTGAAATTAGTGCCACGTCTTGTCTGGTCGAAGCCCCTTATCCCCAGTCATAATAGCCTCGTTAACAGGGGGATGGGATACAGCCTGCTGATTGGTCGTCAATGGGAGATAATGACGCGTATTACAAAAGCGCCCCCTGTCGCCGGAAGGAGCAGTGCCGGGGGAGTCTGGGTTAGTCAAGGGAGATAAGCCTATTAATTTCCTGCTTGGTTGAGAAAGATTTTGGATTAGGTTAGGATGATGTTTCTTTTATGTAAAAAACAAATTGGTACATTATTTTTATATTGATATTTTTGTTGGCAAAATAAGGTGTTGAGAGTTTATACACGAAGTGCCAATTTGGAACTATATTCCCAGGAAGCAGACATCCCCCATGAACATCTTTGTAATCAGGTGCCTTTGGTTTCTTTGTGAAAAGGTCTAAATGATTCTAAAAGGTAGTGTCACTATTTGTGTTCATCAACAGTCATTTCTTTCTAATAGAAGAAAGAATACAGGGGATTGGAATCAAAATACGCCATTTCCCATGGTTAGAGTAGACTATAAATGGGGGTCAGTTGGCCACAATGGAGGAACTGTTTCACATCGGTTTTATTTTCCCTGCTGTGGCCAAAGCTACCTCTGTATCTTTGACCTATATTAAACAGCAGAACCATTAAAAAAATCATCTTTTCAGATTCAGTGTCTTGCCTTCAGGCACTTCAAAAGGTCACTTCGAGTCAGTCTGTCATCAAAGGCATTTTTGGCATAGTAGGTAACACTAAAGCCGATGCTGCAGCTAAAACAGCTCTTGACAAAGCGGTATATTATGTATGATTTCTCCACTAACTTGGGGCTTTAGTGAAACCGGTATATTATGTAAGACAAATTCCTTATTTTTAAATTTGGTTTTAAAAAGTTTTCAAAATCCAAAAAATAATGTAATGAAGAAATATGTATTTAATGAAACTCATTTAAACTTTGTAATTAAGATGGACTTGTGTATATGTTCAGACTTATGGCTGAAGGGGCGGTGAAGTGATCTAATGGCTAAAGAGTTCGCTCGTAACGCTGAAGACCCGGGTTCGATTCCCCACGTGGTTGCAATATGTGAAGCCCATTTCCTGGTGCCCCACGCTGTAATATTGCTGGAATATTGCTAAAAGCAGCGTAAAACCATACGCACTCACTCTTGGGCTGAAATAATGTTCACGCGACATAAAACCTTAACCCAGCTTCTCACTCATCAGCGTTAAGCTTTCCTTCAGTGGTGAGTCTCATCACGCCCGCACAAATGTCAGTAGACTTAAAATCGACAGTCCATGTGTTAATCGGCATTTTCATATTGGTGTACGGAAAATCACCTCGGGCAAATCGAATAACAGAAAAATGAACGCTTTCATTGTTTATAGGGCTTTTGCGGTACATTTAACAAATTTTCAAAATCATATTACACATCTGCTGGAGACACTTTTAGATACCCCCTCCCACACTCTTACCACTACCAACTCACAAAAAAACCTAGCAGTTCGTCTATGAATAGTCTTCGTATTGTCATATCATTGTACGCGCCGTCGATTAGCACGGGTAATTTCCTGAGGGAATTATTAAGCCCTGAAATAGCTCATCTTAGTTGTAAGGCGTGAATCTGTTGTTCTCTCGTGTCATCCTGTTTCTACGTGAATAGTTAGCTGACAATATGTGGGACATGGCGTGAGTGAACTTAAAGATTTACACATCTGATACCAAACCCATGGACGCAAGCAGCTTAATGAGGTATGTGCGTGTGTGCGTGTGCTGGAAATACAGCTGTATGATTGCAGTCTGTTAATAGTTAGTTTGTTAAATTATTGGTTTGTTGTTTAACGTTGCTTGCAATATAGCAACGGCGGTTTGTAAACAATTGAGTCCTTTACCAGACAATCTAGTGATCAACATCATGAGCATCGATCTACGCAATTGGAATACGATGCCATGTATCAACAAAGTCAGCGAGCCTGACCACCCGGTCCCTTTATTGTAGTGGCTAGAAGCATGGTTGCTTAAAACCAATTCTAGCCCGTATCTCCACCGTGACGGGTCGGTGATCCCGAGAATGACCCTACCTCCTCAAGCAATCCACGTTGACATAGACTTGCTTATCAGGTTTGACCTACACCCCGTTCTTAGATCGCTAGGGATGTCGAGTGTGGAACCAGAGACTGACTAATAAAGTCAAACGATGCCAGACATTTACAACCGTACGCAATACGTCGAGAATAATCTGAAGGTATAATCATCATTAACTAACCCTTCTTGAAATGGCTGCCTGATTTGTGTCTGAGGAAGATTACTCAACCTCCTTTCAGGAACCGTGTCTTATTAACAAGTACCTGATATTCCACTCTGAGACTTTTGTGTTATCGGACACTGTTTGGAGGCATTGTCGAACCGAGTTAGACGAGACTTGTCTACTGCCAGCGATGTCTGCAGTAACCGCCGTCTGTTCTCTTTTCGATCACATTTACCCAGAACCCCTGGGACTTCCTGTTCAGAACAGATCCCAACAAGCAGCGCTGGTCGGAGGAGACGACTAAACTGATGGTGTGTATTCATGACTCGGTTTGTTAGCATATCTGGGAAAGATGCCAAAAGTAGGATCGGGTGGTCCGACTCCCTGACTCGGTTGATGCACGTCATCATATTCCAGACGACAAAGTCGGTATCAGGTGGTCCGACTCCCTGACTCGGTTGATGCACGTCATCATATTCCAGATGACAAAGTCGGTATCAGGTGGTCCGACTCCCTGACTCGGTTGATGCACGTCATCATATTCCAGGTGACAAAGTGGGTATCAAGGTGGTCCGACGTCTGACTCGGTTGATGCACGTCATCATATTCCAGATGACAAAGTGGGTATCGGGTGGTCCGACTCCCTGACTCGGTTGATGCACGTCATCATATTCCAGATGACAAAGTCGGTATCAGGTGGTCCGACTCCCTGACTCGGTTGATGCACGTCATCATATTCCAGATGACAAAGTCGGTATCAGGTGGTCCGACTCCCTGACTCGGTTGATGCACGTCATCATATTCCAGATGACAAAGTCGGTATCAGGTGGTCCGACTCCCTGACTCGGTTGATGCACGTCATCATATTCCAGATGACAAAGTCGGTATCAGGTGGTCCGACTTCCTGACTCGGTTGATGCACGTCATCATATTCCAGGTGACAAAGTCGGTATCAGGTGGTCCGACTCCCTGACTCGGTTGATGCACGTCATCATATTCCAGACCACAAAGTCCGTATAAGGTGGTCAGGCTCGCTGAATTGGTTGACACATGTCATCGTGTCCCCATTCCACAGGACGATGCTCATGATGTGAACCACTGGATTCTATGGTCCAGACAAGTTTTTTTTTCACAGATTATCATACAGTAGGAATATTGTAAATGACAAAGAAATAAACAAACAAACAATAAACGTCAATACGATGCGAAGATGTTGCTTCACATCCTACAATAAACGCAAGGACAAAAAATATGTTTCACTTCGGAAGCGAAAATCGAGAAGACGTTACTGATATTACAATGCTACAGCAGATTCAAGGGAGAAAAAATGGAGGTTGTTTCCATACTTGCTTGTTTTCATCTCGATTCATCGATTAGAATTAAAAGCGACAGAACCCTTTCCACATTCATAAGAAATATCTGCCAAAAGCTAAGTAGATTGTACAATTGTGACTATATCATGGGCAGATATTTGTTTCAGCAGTTTTACAGCTGTATGATGTTGTTTGTAAACAATTCGGGTCTGAACCAGGCAATCCAGTGATTGTCACCATGCGATACGGTGACAGAGCATGTGTATGTGAATCAGTATGAAATGCAGCAAGATGAAGGGGCCATTCATCAGTCGCACACCAATGCTATCATAGCTTCGCATTTGTTTAAAGAGCGTTGCATGTTATGTACCAGGGAAATATCCACAAATGATATAATATGGTTCCTAAAATGTTCAGTTCAAAGACCAGGACATCCTCAAAGAAGTGTGTTCTATTTAGATCAGACATCTATTGATAGACCAACACTTCTAATCTAACATTGGGATTCAGAACCGTACCAACACTCGCTTTCTTGGCTGTAATTGGTTTAAAATTTCACAATGTCCTCTTTGCAGAGTTCGCCAGAATTCCGCCTGTCATGGCGCATAACTCCAGTTTCGTCAAAAATCAATTTGTCTTCTGTTGAACCTGCCAAGAACACCAGTCAACGCTCCCTCAGACAATAATGAACTGTGTAATGTTAAGTCCCTGGGTCTTACCTTGTAATATCCAGTCTTGGTGAAGAGCTGTCTACAGCCCACGTCACTCAAGTGTACGGCGATCGTATCAACGGAGCAGGAACTGGCGTAGGAATATTTCTGAAAAATGTGAAAAATACTATTTAATAAATATTTCGTTCAAATGCCAACATTGATGGGTTTTTTTAAACCTGAATGTCTGTTCGATGACATGTTTCTCCTTGATGAACTGGAGTGTTTTATCTCATGACGACACAACCTGTTCGTTATCTTGTGAACACCACATTCCGAAAGCAATGGTGTTATCTAGGACTAATTCATTATGACATAGTGACACTGTTGGTCCGCCTCCTCTGTCATGACGGTAGATTGATGGTAAAGCTTTGGCTAGTCATGTCGAACACCTGGGATAGATTCCCTTCATGGGTACATGGCGCGGTGGACGAGCTGGCTAAGGCGCCAGGCTAGTGATCCAGCGAGGCTGAGGAGTCGGGATAGAGCCCACCTGTGACCGGGTGTAAAAACCTTGGAGTCAACTTTGTGTGCAGACTCTTTCAGTGTTGTCACAACCCCTAGTGTACAGTACACAACCCTGTGCACTTAAAAGAACCCACGAATCCGTTGGTATATGACCTGATGGTGGCCGCATGAATACGTGCAAACACCTAGTTGCAGGTACAGCAACGTGCAGTGAACTTGGACAAAGTATTGTGACTATGTGTCCCAGTCCATCCAGCTGTGAATGGGTACCTCATTAGGATAAGAAAGCCACAATAACTCGGTGCGCCTAGTGGCTGCAAGAGTTGTATACTCCCCAGGCAGTTGAGATTGATAATACGATGTGCCGTTGTGATTGACTTCCAATGATCGAGGGAAAACATACCAGCGCATTGAGCATGCACTAGTTGCCTGGATATGCAGTATAAATATCCTATAATAATAAATACAATGTGTGAAGTCAATTTCTGGGGTCCCCCGCCTTGATATTGCTGGAATATTGCTCAAATTAGCGTAAAACTAACTCACTCAATCCTATTAATGAACACACGGTGTTATAGTATCACTATTACTGTTATCTTTACTAATAAACACCCGGTGTCATGGGATCATTAGAATCTTCACTTTTAAACATTACGATGATGGTTTGCCACCTGGTAAAGACGACCCGAACAGAAAACTCAATCAGACATGATGTCTTCATTCCAGTAGAATTACAACAATACCACGCGGATCCTACCACATCTAAGGGAGGCAATCACAACATCTTCCACAGTCATTTGTTTGTCAAATGAATTTTCTTTCGACTTCAGTACCGAAATTGACTCTGATTTCTTCATCGAGTTCTCTGCTTAAACCAATATTCGGACCAGACAATTGCTACCAAACGGCACTGTTGGAGCGGCTGCCATTACAAATATGCCAAGTGAAGTCTTTGAAGTTGGAATACTTGAAAGCTTTTCTCAGCACAGCTTCTCCGAGTCGTAAATAGGTCCACATTACCGCTAGAGTAAGAGAAGTCGAGTCTATGATCACATACCAGGAAAAGACAGAGTTACTTATTGGCTTTAGTACTGGCTGGTTCCTAAGGGTTCCTTGAAGAAGCCATTTTGAGACGAAGCTGTTGGAAGTGGAACGATATAACAATGGCATAAGTGTCGGCATGTTCCAACAGCATTGTCCGTGAATTACAGGCGCAGTGTGGCTTTTAAATCCGCACATGTAAAAGATTTGTGCCGGTAGATAAATTTCGTGAGCTACTGAGAACAGGGTTGGTAGACATGCACCTTCGGTCTTATCTGTTGTTTGGTTTTGAGAGGGAGACGAGAGTTTGACCTTCGATATTGTGAAAATACTTTTCTCATGAAATTGAGTGAGTATAGTTTTACTCCGCTTTTAGCAATATTCCAGCAATATCACGGCGGGGAACACCAGAAATGGATTCACACATTGCACTAATGTGTGGAATCGAACCCGGGTCTTTGGCGTGACGAACGAACACTTTAACCACTAGGCTACCCCACCGGCCCCATCACGATTCCTCATGAAATAAGACAATGTTGCGCATATTGTCATAAGGCAATATGAAACCAAACCGTATTTCCGTGCTTAAATATATCTATGGGTTTTTTCGTTCCGTACCACTTGAGAAAATAACGACAATGATACGAAATGGAAACATTGTATATATATGAGAACATATTTCTAAATATATTAACAAGAGTTCGAACTGTAGAATTGCTTGTCTATCTCCTACAACCTAGAAATTACTTTAGAAAACGAGTTTAACTCAAGTCTGGCATAATCCGGAGACTCTATATCGGATTAATCTGAGCTACAACTGGGTCTTTAATATTTTGTATACACAGTCAAACAACTTTGTGTCGAAGCTGAACCGACTTCGAGTGAACAGAGGCTCGACACAAACGCACAAGGCCTACTAAGTAGGATTTACTTCGGGACATCTATAAATTCGACTCATCACAGCTCGCAGGATCAAAATTAGACACAACGGTTTCGGTACAGTTTTAAGAAAGATAACTACACAGTCTCGCTCAAATGTAACACAATTTGGTGTCCTCGATATATCCACGTACTCTGTTTATGCTCAAACGACTTCCTTGGCGCTCCAGCTTCCTGTTCTTCTCGGGAGAGCCAAACAAGATATCCTCCCACCTCACTCTCCAGTTCATTTCAGCAAGTTCCGCTTCCAACCGGATGTGCCTGCAACAGAACCGGAAATAGCTGCGATGAAAGCTACGCCTAAATACCCGTATGGTAGTCTTATCTAATCTTCTCTGATCTAAGTGGACACAATAATATGACCAAGTCTAGTCATCGATGTGTGTAGGATGAACTGACCCATGTGATTGGTCTATTTGTGGAATTGGAATTAAGGTCAAGGTCAAGGTCAGTGCCATATTCCTGAGTGGGGTATTGTCTGGGCTGTGATCTTTGTGAGCATAAGTTAAAAATGACAAGGAGCGTGTTTGGCCAAATACACAACATTTGATAAGATTGCCCCATTATTGTGTTTGAAACAGAATGTTTTATTCAAACCATACATTTTGTTAAAAATGGTATCTGTGAAGATCCGGGTCAGAATTGGTTTTGAGCAAAAAAGGCTAGTAACTAACGGGACCGGGTGGTAACTTGGTTGACACATGTCCCCTTGTCCTAATTTCGTATATCGATCCTCATTCTTTTGATCACTGGATTGTCTGGATTATTTACAGACCGCCGCCATATAGCTGGAATATTGCTGAGTTAAGCGTTAAACAACAACCTAACCAAACCAAACATCATCCCCAAATATCAGTACCCCAGGGTGTAAATCCTGGAATGGACTGATACACTGGCTAATTAAGGATTCTTTGACACCACTCACCTGTAGATGAAGAACACAGCGACCAGGACGATGAGGAGAATGGAGCCAAGCACGATGATGACGATACCATACTCCGGGAATGGTTCTGTGGAGGTTAAACATCAGAGAATATACATGTCTTGTTTTCGAACAAATGAGGTGAGCGTGTCGGGTCCTACACTGCATTCATTGTTAATCCAGCAACATCACGGCAGGGCACCAGAAATGAGCTTCACATACATTGTACCAATGTGGGGAATCGAACCGCTCAGGGTAACCCTTATAAGCGTGAAGCGAACGTCGGAATTATATAATGCGTGCGACACCACCGTTTAGCATGGATACCACACAGAATGCTGTGCTTTATATAATGTTTTATCCTCTCAATGGACGTCAGCCAGGGTAACAACATATAGCAGGGATACCACGTTCAGACACAGAATGCTGTGCTTTATATTATGCTTTATCCTCTCAATTAACGTCAGCCAGGGTAACAACATATAGCATGATACCACGTTCAGACACAGAATGCTGTGCTTTATATTATGCTTTATCCTCTCAATTAACGTCAGCCAGGGTAACAACATATAGCATGGATACCACGTTCAGACACAGAATGCTGTGCTTTATATTATGCTTTATCCTCTCAATAGCATTAACTATCATGGCTTTATATCATGCTTTATCCTCTCAATTAATCAGCCAGGGTAACAACATATAGCATGGATACCACGTTCAGACACAGAATGCTGTGCTTTATATTATGCTTTATCCCTCTCAATTAACGTCAGCCAGTTAACTAACATTAGCATGAATACCACGTTCAGACACACAGAATGCTGTGCTTTATATTATGCTTTATCCTCTCAAGATACCACGTTCAGACACAGAATGCTGTGCTTTATATTATGCTTTATCCTCTCAATTAACGCGAACGCTTAAACCACGAGGCATGTAGCATGATACCACGTTCACCCCTTTTATAAGCGTGAAGACTAACGTCGGTTATATAATGCTAGCCTGCTGCGACACCAACGTTTAGCATGAATACCACACAGAATGCTGGGCTTTATATAATGTTTTATCCTCTCAATGGACGTCAGCCAGGGTAACAACATGTAGCATGATACCATGTTCAGACACAGAATGCTGTGCTTTATATTATGCTTTATCCTCTCAATGAACGTCAGCCAGGGTAACAACATGTAGCGTGGATACTGTGATACACAGAATACTGTGCTTTATTATTAGTTGTTCACTGGTCTCGAGGGTACATCAACCCATGGGCCCCGAGGGAACAGTGAACAACGTATTTATCTTACCGAACACCTAAATGTTAATTTTGAATTGTTTGAAGCACGGGTACAAATCTTTTTGTAGACATCGCTAGATTTGGCGGACAAGAAAAACAGATTTAGAGTTATCTCCCTTCCATCGATTTGCATTCGCAAAACATCGATAATTTCCGTACATCATACGTGATTCAGTGTTATTCGAGATAAATAATTACTACCACGAAGTACCAAATGATTTGCCATTGACAGCGAGGTACATTGAAATGTTACTTGCTTGTAAGCGGGGTACATTGAAAATAACAGAAGAGCGCTCAGCCAATCAGAAAGCGACATTTATGTGTGAGGTAAGATAAATAATGCTTTATGCTCTCAATGAACGTCAGCCAGGGTAACAACATGTAGCATGGATACCACGTTCAGACACAGTATACTGTGCTTTATATAATGCAATATCCATTATTAAATTTTTTAAATGTGGGAGGCGGCTTGGGACATCGAACGAACACTATCCTGCTCTCTGCGGAAGCAGGGTTTTTGACAAATTAAAACAAACGCCTTGAGCTGGAAACAATACTGTACCTTCAGGGGGACATTTCGACCCGTCAAAGCCACACTCAGGGGTGTCCGGTGGAGGCGTGAGTCTCCCCCCTGCCCAGTGAATGGAACGACCCGGAACTGGTTCGTACCGCTTTTTGCTTCCATAATAGTTGGCTACAACCTGAAATGTACAAGCATAAATACGTACTGTATACGGAAACGCAACTCTGGTTTTACATTGTTGAACACCGTTTGATGTGACGAAATTACAATTTTGTTGTATTCTAGGCATGGCCGCTGGCTTATGAATATAACATAACATGCATTCTTTCTTCAACTCGGACACAGCGGTGTTTCACAGGATTTGACTTCAAAGAGCTCGTTCGATTGGGGAATAAATTTAAATCGGCTGATATAAACAATTATATTTTTGTACTTTGACTTCAAAACAGAGTTTTCGATTTAGAAAACATAAGATATAGGAACTCAAATGGTAAGGATTCTCCGTTTGATCATAGGTGGGCTATGTGCCTTTATTCAAAGAGCAACGGATGCAAAATGCTCAATTTGTGGGATTTCAATACGGAAAATGCCAAGACTTTATTCAGCAATATACAGAGTTACTTCTCTTCTTTCAAATTCCTTATGATAAATTGCATCACGGATTTGTTAATGAAACGAAAAATGGTCTTGTTTTCCAGTGAAGGATGATGAGTGTATAGACTTCACTGAGATAGGTTGTATGGTACAGAATTTCACACGAGTAACATTTGATATCAAACGATATCAATCGGCATTAAAAGTGTCGATGAGTGTTGATATATACGATATCAAAAACGCGACAGTGAGATGTTTTTAATCAAGCAAATTAATTCTCTCTGTTTTAGTGTGTATTAAGCAGTGACTTTCAAGAATAAAAATGGTTTAGATCCAAAGGCGGGGATATTAGTGACATGATTGTATTATGACGTCATTGAAACAGATGACGTCACAACGTTCCGGAAATCAACGCGCTAGAATTTCATTCTGACGACATCTCCAAGTAGATGACATATAAAATGACATTAAACACGCCTCAGTAATCGAGCTGGACAATGGACATCGATCTGCGCCGACCCAGTTAGCCTTTACCGTCTCTTCCGACAAGCATGGTTTACTGAAGCCAAATTCTAATTCTGATCTTCACGCTTTCACTTGTGTCCTTAACCCGTATACGTAAGATCCGAGTTTGATCTTCAGTAACCCATGCTTGTCGTAAGAGGCGACTAACGGGGTCGGGTGGTCAGGCTCGTTGACTTGGTTGACACATCCCAGTTGGGTAGATTGATGCTCATGCTGTTGATCATCACTGGATTGTCTGATCCAGACTCGATTATTTACAGACCACCGCTCCATAGCTGAAATATGGCTGTGTCCGGCGTTAAACACCAAACAAATATAACAAAACGAAATTCATGACCTTATGGACATCCATTGATCTCTGTCAACTCCAGATGTCTCTGCATACTGACACTTACCTCAAAGCGGTCAGTTTTGGGGTTGAGGTCGAGCAGGGAGTAGTCGGCGTTCCTGTCGCCGTTGTCGTCGATGCTGACAGTGCCGGTGATACCTGAAACGTTGAAGACGTTGTTGTAGTGCTTATGTTTACCGTTGTAACTCTTTTCTATTTATACCGTTTACTGAAACTTACGGGGACAAGTATAATGTAAGCAAATTTGTAACATAATAAGGTCCGTAGTAAGGGAGTGAGAATAGTTTTACGCCGCACTCAGCAATATTCCAGCTATATGGCGGCGGTCTGTCAATAATCGAGTCTGGACCAGACAATCCAGTGATCAACAGCATGAGCATCGATCTGCGCAATTGGGAACCGATGACATGTGTCAACCAAGTCAGAGAGCCTGACCACCCGATCCCGTTAGTCGCCTCTTACGACAAGCATAGTCGCCTTTTTGTGGCAAGCATGGGTTGCTGAAGACCTATTCTATCCCGGGTCTTCACGGGTCTTTATAAAGTCCGTAAATGAAATGAGTGAGTGAGTGAGGTTTTACGCCGCTTTGAGCGATATTCCAGCAATATCAAGGCGGGGACACCAGGCTTCACACATTGTACCCATGTGGAGAAACGAACACGGGCCTTAAGCGTGACGAGCGAACGCTTTAACCACTGGGCCACCCCCACCGACCCTGGTTTTGGATTGAGTGAGTGAGTGAGTGAGGTTTTTACACTACTTTTAACAAGCAATATTCCAACAACTTCACGTCTTCGCACGTTGAACTCAAAAAATGAACTGTACGGGTGAGTGTTTGGTTGACGTTTTAAACAGAAAAGTATACCTGTACAAGCAGTGATCGAGTGAGTGAGTGAGTGAGCAAGTAAAAAGATGAACCCTGGTACATCTGTACCCAGTATCATTAACATCACCACAACCACCACAACATCGCAGTACAGCATCACCTCTCATTCATGAGGCCAGTTCAAGGTCAAACCAAACATACCTCGTAACATTCACCAGCACATTTTCCACACCCGCCATTACAGCAACCCATTCCACTCATGCCGGGGATAAGACGTTGGCTGATAACAAATACCACAGACAGAACAACAGAGGGCACCCCTGGTTCCACTAACCTCCCACCCTGACTCACAAACGGTCAATACGCGCGGGTCACAGAAAGCACTGAAGGCGGTTCTGTAAGTCCTCCAAGAACACGGTTTTCCCTATCAGCTGATGGCAATCACGGAGGGGGGATTTGTTGTGATCCAAGAGGAAGCTTTTTGGATGTGTGTGATCAGTGCCGGTCACGTGGTACGGCGAGATTCCCATTCTTTTCGCATTAGTCGTCGACACTACTTTGGTTTATGGCACAGGAAATCGCACTATGCATGAGCTCACTGAAATGGAGTTGGTGTTGTTGCTGCCGTCGCGATTTTTAGCTTTTTTCAGGTTTTGAGGTAGAGTTTTTTCATGGTACCCTTTTAGGAAAACTCCAGCAAAACTGCCCCCATGAACACCAGAATTAGGTTGTCACAGTGGATCGGTCTTGGGAATCGAACCCGGGTCATCGAACACTTTATCAACTCGTCCCCCATCGACCATGTTAGATAGAAGTTTTACTTTTATTTTGTTTGTTTGTAAAGAATATGTATGCTAGGGGTACACCATTTGACTGGTTCGAATTAGAATCATCCTAAATTTGGTTGAAAACAACCAAGTGTGTTAGTGAGTTTAGTTTTACGCCGCTTTTAGCAATATTCCAGAAATATCACGGCAGAGGACGCCAGAAATGGGCTTCACACATTGTACCCATGTGGGGAAACGAACCCGTGAAGAGCGAACGCTTTTACCACTGGGCTACCCCACCGCTCCTGACAACAACAAGAGTCCGCTCGTCATGTCGAACACTTGGATTCGATTCCCCACATGGGTCCAGTGTGTGAAGCCCATTTCTGCTGTTCCCCCGCCGGGATGTTGATGCTATATTACTAAAAGCGGCGTAAAACCATACTCACTCATTGAAAACAACCCAGCGTGTTTTCCAACTTTGTGAATTTCGACTCACACCATGGAGGTGCAATGGTTACTAGGGTATTTGTTGGCCATTACTGAATAAAATACATTTTCACTTGAAGTCATGTATCTATTCCAATGAAGTCAAAGTTATTACAAAGCTTTGTTACTTTTTCAAATGTAACAAAATATTAATTGGTCAAAAACATCAAAACAAACATTTTCACTGAAACAACAAAAATATCAGCAACTAAATATATATATTGACACTTAACACTGTTGATGTACGTAGTATGAATTCCCGTGCAGGAATCTCTCCACAATACCAAGTATTGTTGCTGTTTTTTCTGAAAACCACCGATCACGCTTGGTATATATTTTCCTTTTATTTTGTTTGTAAAGTATATCTGAAACCTTATCCAACATGATACATGCCGTCTTCATCAGAATCCAGAAAGGTTTTTCCTCTGAACTTCTGTCTGTGTCATGAAAGCATGACAGTTGACTTGATCAGTGATATGTTTGAAATTGAACATATATGTCATCTTGTCCTACCTCCATCAGAACAACCATTCAAACAAAAAACAAAATATGTTACTGATCCTCACTTCGTGACATCAAGACGTAACCAGCATCAATGTACAAAATATTTTTCGAGATCTGGAATCAACTTCGACGTAATCGGGATTCGAGTTACACCTGGCTTATATCCTGTTGGTTAGGTTACAGCAACAAGTGTGGGTTACCAACTCTTTTTTCAAATTTTTCACTTTCGCTGTTTCTCCACTAAATTGTCGACATCTACCGTTATCCGAGTTTCTTGTTATTTGCGGAGATATCGTACACACGGTATTAACAGTGTGCTGACACCACAACTCGCAGACTGCACTGACTGTAATATATATTAAAGCGAGAGCGTGAAGGGTGAGTGAGTGAGTTCAGTTTTACGGTGTTTCTAGCAATATTCCAAAAATATCACGGCGGGGGACACCAGAAATAGGCTTCACACATTGTACCCATGTAGGGGATTCGAACTGGTTTTCGGCGTGACGAGCGAACGCTTTAACCACTAGGCTATCCGACCACTCTAACTGACTGACTGACTGAGTTTGGTTTTACGCCGCTTTCAGCAATATTCCAGCAACATCACGGCGGAGGACACCAGAAATGCCGACCACTCTAAGAGAACGTGCACTGGAAAAAAAGTCCATGTTTACAAGACATTTCCAATTTTGGAAAGATGATGTTTCCAAAGATTTACAATTTTGGAAATGTCCACAAGGGGAGATAACTGGTGGGTGATGGTAAATCATTGTTATTTGCACGCCCCGGGACCTAATCCCTTGTTGATTGATGAGTGAGTCACGGCAGTTAATAGTCACCAATTAACAAGGCCTACTGCCATGTTAATTAACATGTTATTATGCCTCTTAAAGGTCACATGCAACCAAAAAATCGAAAACATAATTAAAACACAATTATCACTTCTTTATGACATATAATATGCATTGCTGATTATGAAAAAACAAATAAACAAAATAATAAGCGTATAATCGCAAATCAAAAGTGCAATATTTTGTACTTGGGTTTACCTCCTCGAAACGAAGCAGCCGGGATACCGAACCCAGTCAGGGCTGGTGTAACGGCTGGTTCATTTGCAGATGCCCTCACGGCTGATTGTGTGTGTATATATAGAGATGTTGGGTTTTGTAAATACATGCTCATTTTTTTGTGTATAACATTTTGCAATCAACAGACATCATAACATGTCATGTGTTCAAGTATCACACCTGCCTGTCTGTGTAATTACATAATGTGACAGAGACCGAACTCGGGTCATAAATCAATGCGGTTTGTTTATGGTGTATAGCCTGATTGGTGTTAAGTTCAAATTGCATGTGGTCAGTGATCGCAGTTGTGTATTGAATATTGTCATTAGCAGACAGGCAGGCAGACACACAGGTGTCAATTAAACAAGACATTGAGTTTTGTCTGTGACAACGACATATCTACATAGTATATCACAGTTAGAAATTCAGTTCTAAATAATGACATTGCTTTTAAGTATCGAACTAAGAAAGTGACTCGGTAAGAAGAACGTGTGGGGAAATAGACATATGAAATTTTATAAACAGTTTATTTACTGTCATAACATATAAAAGCTCGCGCCTGTGAGATATCAACAAAACATTATGAAAATAGCTCACACCAAAGCCTTCACCGAGTATTCACCAGACAGCCCGCTTCCAAGTTGCGCGAACCTATTTCACTGCGCACTTGCTATGAGCGCAGCCCAGCTGTTGAAACCCGTTTTCCCCCGAAATTTAATAATTTGCTAACAGACGGGCATCAACATTTCTGTTAACTCATCCGTTTGGATCAAAGGTCGATAGAGGGGAGTTTCCATGTATATTCTCACGCCGTTATCAAGATAAAAGTTACTACAACCAGGTGAATAGAAGTATATATGCATAGTGACAAGCAGCAAATTAACAACAGGTAATTCAGCAAGTAGCACGTCGTTGGGGCCAACAGGAGAGTAAGATCAACAAGTCGAAATCCACTCCATTGTCCAAGTGATGGAATCAATCAACATTCAATCAGCTTGTTTATCCTGAACGTTGTACATCGAAATGCCGCTCTATGCAATAAACAGGGAGTTGTTATCACGTAAGTGGTATGTTTCGTTGTGTATCCCCATACTGTTTACTGCAGTATAAGTGAGATCTGCTTCACTTTGCGAATGACCAATCTTTTGAAGTTGATTCAGGCTCTACTTTAGTAAACTGCTACCTAACAGATTGATCTCAGATTAAAACATCTCATTCCAAATTCGTGTTTTCTATTTCAAGTACTAAGAAATACTGAATTTTTACGTATTAGATATACATCTATCGGTACCAGTTTGACGTGTCTGGTCATGAGTTAACTAACATGGTGATTATATATTTTTGACCATTACATGTGTCATTCACGCGTCATTTATGCCATGATAATGTTCTCTGATCCATTTCATCATACAGCATTTATTTCATTCAATGTTTTGAAGCTCATATGAAAACATGAAAAATGTTACTGTTCCAGTTCCTTTTGAAGAGTGAAAGTATTTTTGTTCCTCAAGTCTTCCAACCAATATAGTCATTATGGTTACAAACGACCTGATTTTAATACCTATCATCAAGTTAGATGTTATACACGCGTGCATGCACACACACCCACACCCACACAAAACATCCGTAATTTGTGAATTCTGTTCGGACGATAAAGAAATATCTAATTTGATCAGAATCAGTATATGAATTATCTTCCCTTACTCTGAGAGAAGCATGGCATTATTCGTTCATTTTTAATAATTTTATCTGGTTAAAAGAAGGTATTATCAAAACTGTGAAACAAACTTGCGTATACTACCATATCACTAACATTGCGATATTGACCATGGAATAAATGTTAAGTTTAGTCTGTTTTCAATGTCATAATATGTGAGGTTCCTCATTCACATATACATACAAACTGACAGCATAACACAAAACAATATGCAACCAACCCAATGTAATACAATACAAGTTTCACCGCCTGTGCATACCACGCTGTTGACGAATCTCTCAGGTGTGTTAGAGCGATAATCACACCGCGACATGATTAACAAGCCTACAGCTCAGCAGATTTTAATAACTTACCTTGTTAATAAGAAAAGCAAGATTTATGGATGTCAACTTCTTTATTGTGAATAACACGAAGTTTCGGAGCATATGCTTGCTCCTTCATCAGGTGAAAATCAGGTCACAGTAATGCATTCCACTTCTTAATGCCCATCAAAGATTTAACTTACTTCCAGAGGCTTCTTTAAGAGGCATAAAAACTTGTTAAATAACAAGGCAGTAGGCCTTGTTAATTGGTGACTATTAACTGCCGTGACTCACTCATCAATCAACAAGGGATTAGGTCCCGGGGCGTGCAAATAACAATGATTTACCATCACCCACCAGTTATCTCCCCTTGTGGACATTTCCAAAATTGTAAATCTTTGGAAACATCATCTTTCCAAAATTGGAAATGTCTTGTAAACATGGACTTTTTTTCCAGTGGTGAAGACTATATGGAACGTAAATCTAAGACGACCTGTGTGAGCGGGAACACCATTATTAAGCGCTTGAAAATAACCGGCAGCGTTTCACAAAGCGATCTTAGCACGAATCTCGTATCTCCTATAATTCAACATAGAGTTATGGGAGTCGTAGCGATAAGATCGCTTTGTGAATCAGGGCCCTGGCCTGTATCATAAATTGATAATGCATATTAATAATTGCTTGTTTTCAATTTATCATTATTTAAATTTACATGTATACAAACTATAAAAGTTAAATGACTATGTTGATATATGATTCTCAGATAGTCAACGTGTCTTTTCAGTACTTTGAGACCTCCTTGCCCTGTAATATACGACTGTATGTGCCTAGGTACACTACCGATCAAAGTTTGTAAGAAATTGTTTGACAGCATATCCCAATATTCGACCACTTCTTTCTCCATATTTCTAAGTCGTTTGGGGTTTATTCTGTCCTTTAGTCTCAACACATTCTCAATAGGGTTCAGATCTGGTATGTTTTACATTCTCCATTGTCCTAATACCGTAAATGATTAACGTCATACATTTACCATATAATTCCATAATAACTGAAATTCATGCATAATATTCGTGATGTGTATTGTGCACATCTGTGATTATCTTCGTCAGTGAGTGAGTGAGGTTTTACGCCGCTTTTAGCAATATTCTAGCAACACCAAGGCGGGGGACACCAGAAATGGGCTTCCCGCATTGTACCCATGTGGGGAATCGAACCCGGTCTTCGGCGTGGTGAGCGAACACTTTAACCGCTAGGCTACAGTAAAGCATCACACTGGGCTTCAAGCGTCAAGCTGATACGAAGTAATACAGCTGACATACTGTTGAAACAATCACTAGTTTGTCAAACCCAGAACAGTCCCGATCAATATATTTTAATTATTCGTTACCGTATTTAGAGACTAGACCGGAGAGCGGAAGGTCGCGGGTTCGATCCCCGACCGCGTCATACCAAAAGACGTTAAAATATGGTACTTGTTGGTCCCTGCCTGGCGCTCGGCATTAATGGGTACAACAAGGACTGGTCGGCTCGGAGTCAGTATAATGTGTCTGAGTTGGGTATTCATGCTTCACTGCGGCATGGTATCTCAGTGGGCTAGCACTATAAAACCAGCTTAAGTCTGGGCTAGTACAAGCAGCCGCACATACACATACACACGCATGCACGTCGTCATATGAGCGAAATATTCTCAAGCACGACGTAAACCCAATTTCACCCCACTTCACCTCAATAAGGTTCAGATCTGGGGGGCGGTGGGGTAGCCTAGTGGTTAAAGCGTTCGCTCGTCACGCCGAAGACCTGGGTTCGATTCCCCATATGGGTACAACTTGTGAAGCCCATTTCTGGTGTCCCCCGCCGTGATATTGCTGGAATATTGCTAAAAACGGCGTAACACCATACTCAGACAGTCAGATCTGGGCTGTAGCTGGGCTGTATTGTGAAAGACACACAACTAATATGTTTGAAACCTTATCCTACATCAAACATTCCGTCTTCTTCCAGAAAGATCTTCCCTCTGAAGTCAAACCACCGATCACGCTTGGTATATATTTTGCTTTTATTTTGTTTGTAAAGTATATCTGAAACCTTATCCAACATGATACATGCCGTCTTCATCAGAATCCAGAAAGGTTTCTCCTCTGAACTTCTGTCTGTGTCATGAAAGCATGACAGTTGACTTGATCAGTGATATGTTTGAAATCGAACCCATCCATCATCTTATCCCCATCAGAACAAACATCAAACAATATACAAAATAAGTTACTGATCCTCTCTTCGTCATCTGTGGATGTAACCAGCATGAAGATACAGAATGTCATGGGTGTCGAGAACTGGAATCAACTTCGACGTAATCTGGAGTTGAGTTACACCTGGTTTATATCCTGTGGTAATATTGGACATTGACTCTAAAGTAACGGCGATGTTGACTGTGGTGCCGGTAATGACAACGTTCATGGTGATGGTAATTGTGGTCGTAGTGGTGGTCGTAGTGGTGGTGGTGTCGTTGATGTCGATGTCGGAGGCACATTCTACATTAAGATGAAGCCCTACACATCAGCCTAAGTGCCCCGACGTTTCAGAACACGGAAGTATTGACACCATTAGTTGCAGACAACCAGACAACAACTTATTTGAGACATGAAGCTAATACCTGGGTGAGTGAGTGAGTTTAGTTTTACGCCGCACTCAGCAATATTCCAGCTATATGGCCGCTGTCAGTAAATAATCGAGTCTGGTCCAGACAATCCAGTGATCAACAGCATGAGCATCAGACAGGAGTCCCGGGTTCAATTCCTCACATTTCTGCTGATTGGTTTGGTTTGATTGTTGTTTAACGCCGCACTCAGCAATATTCCAACTATCTGTAAATAATTGAGTCTGGACCAGACAATCCAGTGATCAACAGCATGAGCATCGATCTATGCAAATTGGGGTACGATGACATGTGTCAACCAAGTCAGCGAGCCTGACCACCCGATCCCGTTAGTCGCCTCTTACGACAAGCATGGGTTACTGAAGATCAATTCTAACCCGGATCTTGACGCGTCTAATACCTTGTGTACTTGTGTACCAAGTAGACACTGACCTTCAAATGTCCTGTTCCACATGCGTCGAGTGATGGCCACACCGTCAGATATGGAACCATTAGCTTCCAGTGTTTCGTTGAGGGCTAGCGCATACAATATCACCGCGTCGTGAAACGCACCCACAAAACTGTTCACCTGAAAAAGAGAATTATAGCATCAGTGGGTTTACAAAAAATATGTTCACCGTCAGTTAGGAAAAAACAACTTTGGCAGGAAACGCACCCACAAAACTGTTCACCTGAAATAGTGAGTGAGTGAGTGAGTTTTACGCCGCACTCAGCAATATTTCAGCTACATGGCGGCGGTCTGTAAATAATCGATTCTGGACCAGACAATCCAGTAATCAACATCATGAACATCGATCTATGCAATTGGGAACCGATGACATGTGTCAACCAAGCCAGCGAGCCTGACCACCCGATCCCGTTAGTCGCCTCTTACGACAAGCATGGGTTACTGAAGGCCAATATTCTAACCCGGATCTTCACGGGTTCACCTGAAGTATTAGGTTAGGAACGGCATCGATCTACGTTGAATTTACGATTTACAGCTTCTTAGAACCAGCATATGTTCATTGGGACCCACTCTGCCCCGACATCCGGTAGTCTGTTGCATCATAGTGGGCGCCAAGCTCAACATATCGTATAAAATGATTAAAAACATATTTGAGCGAAGGTTTGGAGACAAATTCATTAACAATTAGGCAAGAGCAGTGTATAATTATATATATAAGGAGCATTTTAAGCGAACTCATGTTTCAACAAATGGAACACATTAAAGTACTATTTTTTCCTTTTTTGTTTCTATCCTTCTCAAATATTTAATCCATGACATAATGCCATAAAAATCACCCAACTGCCAGTAGGTCTGAAACCTTTTCACAATGTGTGTGTCAGATATAGAATGACAGTTAGCTGGGCAAAATAACAATCAAAATAGAATAAGGTATTTTAATCCGATTATCCTGACAAACCCCCAATACTTAATCCCTATATTTTGGAGCGCCTTGGTGTCTGAATGCGTATACTGTTGTCTCTATAAAGAAACGAACTTTTCAAGTCAAACTACAAATATTTTAAAGGTACAAAATCATGTTAACATCCATTAGAAATCTGTGACAAAAGCAGTGTCGATTGTATAATTCCCACTATATTATGAGTCCCTGTGTGTGCGTTTCAATCTCTATCAAAATAGTGGTAATACCAGGTGTTTGCGAGAATGATGAGCGTATTGTGCCCCACCGTTAGCTCCCAGCCCAATCTGGTCCAATAAAGAAGTTGTGTATCCCTAAAAAAATGTTCCTCGTCATCATACCGTATTCTACATGCAACTTGGGGCGGTGGGGTAGCCTAGAGGTTAAAGCGTTCGATCGTCAGGCTGAAGACCGGTGTTCGATTCCCCGCATGGGCACAATGTGGGAAGCCCTTTTCTGGTTTCCCCCGCCGTGAAATTGCTGGAATATTGCTAAAAGCGGCGTAAAACTAAACTCACTCACTCACTCTAAATGCCCCTAAAAGATCGTGCGAAGATGGCGAACTTAGCGGAATTTTTTTCAAGAACAAAATTAATTTTTACACTTGGCACTGGGGTTTGAAGATTGAGTATTTATAAAATTTAACAACATGCCCAAGTAAATCTCTTTATTTGTAATTTACACGAAGCTGCAACATAGCATCTTGGCCTGGAACTGACAGAACTGTACATGTAATGCAATGCTATCATCAGAAATCATTATGGAAAGAACAAAATGAACAACCACTTTGAAAATGTGTTTCCAGTCAAGAGTTCACACACAGTAAACCGCATGTATCCCAATTCCATTCACAGTAAGAAGAACATGTTCTGTAAACTGACCTAAAAACATTCCTATATTTTTTTCTGTCAAAGGTAGACATATTTGAAGATTACAGGCCTAAACAGGACGCCTATAATCCTACATTAACAGAATAACCCATGGCGTCTACGAATCAGTGGATGTAATTGGACATTAAAAGAGCTTTCTGTCCATATCCCGTTGAACCTCGAGCACGCGTTGTAAGGAGTTGCCGGGAGAATCTAATCTCACTTTCAAGCCACCTTTGAAGGATGACATTAGAGTTTTATTTTTAGAGCATACCCCGAAAACCTTGGAAAATTTTATAATTAATCTCATGGACTTTACGTGTGTTTTTTTCTAATCAGAATACTTTGGACTTGTATGTTACAACAATTTCCTTGTGTCTAAGTCTTGTGTTAATCTCGATGGCAGGGCCGTGTGGTAGTTCGCAAATACAGCCATTATTTATACTTCGTACTGTCACTTTGCTCATTTCATTCAGTGATTGTGAAAGATTTGATATATTGGTTCACGATTTGACAGAATGTTTTTAATTACTTTAAAGTCTCTCGAAGCTGAAGTGCTGTTCAGGACACTTGGGCAGAATACTTACAGATACAATGGGCACGGATCTTATGCTGGCAGAATTAGATATGTTGGCTCTCATTTGTGATTTATCTTTCCCACCCTGGTGAAGATTTTTGTTTGTTTGTTTAAAGTCCCAGTCAGCGGTATTCCAGCTATGTGGAAGGCGGTTTCTAAATAATCGAGGGCTTTACCTGACAATCCAGTGATCAACAGCAATTTATCAAGAACAATGCCTATGGACTGTCACATTACATCAATATTACGGCCGGTGACCCCAGGAATTGGCGTCACATATCTACCGTTGTGGGGAAACGACCCCTACAGTTTGCGCGACGTTAGGAACAGGGCAAACCATCAGCCCCCACCCACACATACATACACAAACACACACACCACACACATAACACACACACATACAAACAAAAACACAATGAAAATGAATGAATGAATGAATAAATGAATAAATGAATGAATGAATAAATAAATAAATAAATAAATAAATAAATAAATAAATAAATAAATAAATAAATAAATAAATAAATAAATAAATAAATAAATAAATAAATAAATAAATAAATAAATAAATAAATAAATAAATAAATAAATAAATAAATAAATAAATAAATAAATAAAAAAATAAGCCCACAAACCGGGAACACCAGGTCGGATCATCTCATCCAAGTCAGCCAGTCACCTCTAACAAAACAATGAAGTACTGGGGACCTGTTCTATCATTCTATAATCGCTTTGATCTTTTGTTTTCCGTCAAAAGGTCAACATGACATGGCAACCTAAACAAGACGCATCTCAAGTCCATTCAAAGTACAATAAACTCATGCCACGTGTAGAGAATTTTTAAAAAACAAAAAACAGTCATTTATATATATTTTTTGTCAAAGTTGATATATTTGAAGACTACAGGCCCAACAGGATGCCTATAATCCTACATTAACAGAATAACCCGTGGCGCCTCAGAATAAGGCGATCCAACGGAACATTAAAAGAGCTTTCAGTCCATATCCTGTTGAACTTCTGTTAGGCGCTCTAAGGAGTTGCCGGCAGAATGTATTCCCATTTTCAAGCCACCTTTGAAAGATTACATTAATGTTTTATTTAAGGGCACATTGCTCCGAGAACATACGTGATTTCATTGCTAGTCTCATGGAATTTTAATTCCGGCTTACGTAGACTTCCCAAGATGACTTTGGACCTATTGACAATGTTTCTTTTGTTTAAGCGTTATTGGTTCAAAATAATGTGTGTTCTTAATAAAGGTGTGTACTTACACACAATGTGTTATTAGTCCTGTCAATGAATCGGTGTACTTTACAAACCAAGCTGTCTGTGAGGCGCTAGAAGGTCATATGACCATCTCATCCCACCGGGTACCCATTCACTGCTGAGTAAACAGAACCAATTTTAAACAAAGTCACTTGCCTAAGTTGAGACCACATATGTCACCCATGCTTCGTTGTGGATCAGGACTGAAGTTCCAAAAACTCGAAGGAAACTGCCAAACACCGACGTTGCTTACCTTCAAATGATTTTTGAACTGTGCTTCTCGCAAATGACCACCTACCTCCAGATAAACAATTCCCATTACCTTTGTTGACAAGGACGTTGACAAGGACGAGTGATGCTAAGCATAACTATTACGTTTGTCGCTTTTTAACCACTAAGATTACTCGAGAATGACGTATAGTCTGTCTAACAATACTTATTTGTGTCTTGTTTTGATTAATCTTATATACGTAAACTCGTCAGGGTTGGTGATATTTAGCTTCAAACATCCTTCTATTACGCTCCGTAATGTCACTTTTCTCATTCAACTCGGAGATTCTGAAAGGTTTGATAAATCATGTTCGGATAAATATATTAATTACGTGAGCCGATGTCTGAGATGACATACGGCACGACTGTATCTAACAACAACAAAATACCCATTTAATTTGTTTTCGATATTCTGGCTGAATCAGCTGCAACGACAGCTTCATGCCGTTGCTGAAAACGACTACACGAACTCATAGTTGATTGTATGTGTGTTGCTATTAAATTATGTTACTCTGATGTCAGTTGTTGTTACTAAATTGGGTTACGTGTTTACATATACACATATATTCATATTAAACGTGCCAGAAATTAGTTGCTCTGATATAAGGTAGTCTGTGTCTGTATGTGTTCGCTTACCAATACACCCGTGAAGGTCCGGGTTAGAATATTGATCTTCAGTACTGAGTGAGTGAGTTTAGCTTTACGCCGCTTTTAGCAATATTCCAGCAATATCTCGGCGGGGCACACCCGAAATGGGTTTCACACATTGTACCCATATGGGAAATCGAACCCGGGCCTTCGGCGTGACAATCGAACGCTTAACCACTAGGCTACCCAACCGCCCCTGATGTTCAGTAACCCATGCTTGTCGTAAGAGGCGACCTACAGGATCGGGTGGTCAGGCTCGCTGACTTGGTTGACACATGCCATCGGTTCCCAGTTGCACAGATCGATGCTCATGCTGTTGGTCACTGGATTGTCAGGTCCAGACTCAATTATTTACAGATCTCCGCCATATAGCTGAAATATTGCTGAGTGCGGCGTAAACCTAAACTCACTCACTCACTCACTCGCGTACCAACAAATGGAATAATTCAGTAGCTGTTACAACAGTATTATGTTACTGTTTAGATAATAATCATAACAATAATGACCATCAATAAAGCGCCTGTGAGGCGCTAGAAGGTTAACAGTCATATGACTTATACCACCGGGTACCCATTCACTGCTGGGTGGAACAGAGGCAATTCATGAACAAACTCACTTGCCTGACGTTATTTCCATACACCACACGCTAGTTGCTACTGCTAATGTATGTGTATGCATGCATGCATTTTTACTGTTTGATTTCGTTCTTGTCCGCCCACCAAGTAATTACTACTGCAGATGATTACTTGTTACTGTGTGTTGCTATTAAATACTTACAAAATGTGTTTCTTATCCTAATTTCCGCCAATCCGCTATGCCATTTTAATACAGTCTGTGACTCTTATCCTTCGATAAATGCGGAAAGAACACAGAGCAATCCCGAACAAACAAGAACTGTACACATCGCAAACGAGCTGCGTAATGGCTGGATTTCTTGCAAATACATGTCATACCACATATCATTACACTGAAGCAAACCTATCCATCAGGTTTATATATATACATATATAGATATAGATATATATATAGATATATGTGGTCTATTTCCAGAAAACCGGCTGTAGTATTTTCCAAATTTAACATAAACTTTTATAAATCATACATAAAAATATGTATATATCGTGGATCAAAAATGGTAATTTTGCAAACACTCACTCACTTACTCACACTCCGCTCGCACTCACTGACATCATACCCAAACAATTGCTGTGTTTTTTTAAAAATACACACAAGAAAATAAAGCTGTTACCTCTTCCTCCCCATAAGTGAAATTCTTGTACATTAGGCTAGCTCTTCTTTTCACCTCCTCGGAAAAGTTGTGATACTCAGGGCTGTCTGGTTTCCTGAGAGTCACCGTCATGACGGCTTCAAACGCCTTCTTCGCCTTGACGTTCCGCTCCTCCGTGTCGTCTTCACGATACCAGGGGCGGGAACTCTGGTTCTTGCTGCAAAGACAGAAGGCACGACAGGTGTAACGGATGTAGTACTCTCGACGGTTTCCACGAAGGATGCTCGTGTACGGAAACTACCGAAGGATCTGTTGCTATGAACTAACACAGTATAGCTTGCGTGGAAACGATAATGACATTGACGCGTAGAGGTTGCTGTGAGATTCCGCACCCGTGAAGTTTGGTTGTTAATTCCACAGATGTAATGTAACAGCTGGCGCATGTTAAAATTCCAAGATGTTTCTTAGATTATTTTTTAAAGATTCATTGTTGTGGAGAAAATGTCTTTGCAATACAACTTACAGTTATTACATAACTGAACGAAATGAGTTCTTCTCCGCCCTCATTGACAAACTGGATGTTGACAGCTATGTTCAAATTGAACTTTTGGATGAAAATGAGATGATTGCACTATTTTGGAGTTCGGCTCAAAAGTACCTGGAATTGTTAGCCAGACCACTTGGGAAAGTGTATCATTATTGTTCTGTAAATATGTATTTCATCTGAAAAATGTATTAGACCATCCTCTCTTCTCATCTACTGTGCAGCAATAGCTGTCAATTGTGTACATAATGTGATATCGATTATTTACTTATAGTGTACATAATGTGATATCGATTATTTACTTATAGTGTACATACTGTGATATCGATTATTTACTTATAGTGTACATACTGTGATATCGATTATTTACATACTGTGATATCGATTATTTGCTTATAGTGTACATACTGTGATATCGATTATTTACTTATAGTGTACATACTGTGATATCGATTATTTACTTATAGTGTACATACTGTGATATCGATTATTTACTTATAGTGTACATACTGTGATATCGATTATTTACTTATAGTGTACATTTACTTATAGTGTACATACTGTGATATCGATTATTTACTTATACTTATATGTACATATTAACATCATGTATTTGCTCTGAGTAACATCAGGCATATTGTAAATCTCGGATGTAGATTCTGGAGAAAATAAAGAAATGCATTCATTCATTCATTCATCCATTCAATCATTTCATTCATTCATTCATTCAATTATAAGAGTACGTGGTAACTCTGCCGTTAAATGTTAATGTCAGTTTTGCTATCATTTATAACCATGATTATAATAAATATCACTTCAAAAACTACATTGAACTTTCTTTAATTTAATTGGCTCTTTCAAAATGTGCAATGTCCAAAATAGAAGATAGGAATGTTTTTTGGTGTATATATGGACTATGGCTAATTTGCGTCTTGTTTAAAGCCTGTCTCAGCAATATTCAAGCATAACTCGGGTGGTGGGGTAGCCTAATGGTTAAAGCGTTGGCTCGTCACGCCGACGACCCGGGTTCGAATCCCCACATGGGGTGTGAAGCCCATTTCTGGTGTCCCCCGCCGTGATGTTGCTAGAATATTGCTAAAAGCGGCGTAAAACCAAACTCAGTCAGTGAGTCAAGCATAACTAGGACGGCCAACACATGAGTGAGTCTACTGTCCAGTGATAGACAGAATGAACATCGAATTACAAAACTGGAAACGATGTCATACATCAAACAATTAACAAAAACCAAGCCAGTGAAGCCACACAGTCCGGTGTCTGGAACCAGGGTAATAAGTCATGGATGTTGTATTTGTTTGTTTGTTTGTTTATATGGTTGGTTATTGTTTTACGCCGCACTCAGCAATATTCCAGCTACATGACGGCAGTCTGTAAATAATTGAGCCTGGACACGACAATCCAGTGATCAACAGCATGAGCATCGATCTACGCACTTGGGATATGATGGCATGTGTCAGTCAAGTCAGCGAGCCTCATCCCGTTAGAAACAGATGCATGAATGGAAAATAAAATGTTGGATACAAAATGTGTTCTATCGGCGAGAGGTCGCTTTAGATTGGTTTACATAACTTTTAGCAATATTTCAGTAATATCCCTCTCGGCCTGTTCAGGAGAGCGCTAGTTCCGCTTCCTTGGGCAGCAGTGGTGGTTGTAATATTGCGGGCTTTACATGCTGCACGTGCATTTCACCGGGTTAAACTTGAAGATTGTGTTATGAAGGAATGAATGAATGAGATCGGTTTTACGCAGCTTTTAGCAATATTCCAGCAATATCACGGCGGGGGACAAAAGAAATAGGCTTCACACATTGTGCCCATGTCGGGAATCAAACCGGGTCTTCAGCGTGACGAGAGAACGCTGTAACCATTAGACTACCCGGCCGCTCCAAAGGGAGCTAAGAAAATGTTTAATTTCGGGCTTCAGACAATTTTGGCTTGCCAAATTTAGATGCTGATTCGATTACATGGATTAATGTATCCTCAAAGGTCTCTGTTGGAGGTCCCCACATGGGTACAATGTGTGAAGCCCATTTCCGGTGTCCCCCGCCGTGATATTGCTGGAATATTGCTGATAGCGACGTAAAACCATACTCACTCACTCACTCACTCTGGAGGAGGAGGTGTGTACACGTTATGAGTTTATACTGTCTAGCTGCTCGGTAAATTTGTTTTGAACACTGTATAACAAGGACCAATCAGATATCCAGACAAGCTGATCAGGGTGAATGGTTGAGCGGTTGACTGAATGAGTAAAAGTGAGTGAGTGAGTGAGTGAGGTGTTATGCCACTTTCAGCAATTCCACCAATATCACTCCGATTAAAGTAAACTAAGACTAAAATAAAAAAATAAAAAATGAAAGAACACAGGTTTATTTATATTGCGTAAGTGAGTTTAATCTTCGCCCCTTTGAGCGAGTGAATATGGTGTTATGCCGCTTTTAGCAAAATTCAAGCAATATCACAGCGGGGGACACCAGAAATGGATTTCACACCTTGTACCCATGTGGGGAATCGAACCCGGGCCTTCGGCGTGACGAGCCAACGCTTTAACCAATAGGCTACCCAGCCACCAATCGTCAGAATGAGGATGCTGGACAGTTGTGCCTCCACTCCAATCATCATACAGAGTTTCAGCTGTCGCAGCACGAGGTGATTCAAATGGAAAGACTCACAGACCCGAAAGAGTATCTATCTGGTTAAAGTACCACTTAGTAACCGCCTCCGTGGTGTAGTGGTTAGAGCGTCCGCCCGGAGAGCGAAAGGTCGCGGGTTCGATCCCCGACCGCGTCATACCAAAAGACGTTAAAATATGGTACTTGTTGGTCCCTACCTGGCGCTCGGCATTAATGGGTACAACAAGGACTGGTCGGCTCGGAGTCAGTATAATGTGTCTGAGTGGGGTATTCATGCTTCACTGCGGCATGGTATCTCAGTGGGCTGGCACTATAAAACCAGCTTAAGTCTGGGCTAGTACAAGCAGCCGCACATACACATACACACGCATGCACGTCGTCATATGAGCGAAATATTCTCAAGCACGACGTTAAACCCAATTTCACCTCACCTCACCAATTAGTAAACCCGTGAAGGTCCAGGTTAGAATATTGATCTTCAGTAACCCATGCTTGTCGTAAGAGGCGACTAAGCGGGATCGGGTGGTCAGGCTCGCTGTCTTGGTTGACACATGTCATCGGTTACCAGTTGCGCGCTGTTCGATGCTCATGCTGTTGATCACTGGATTGTCTGGTCCAGACTCGATTATTTACAGACCGACGCCATATAGCTGGAATATTGCTGAGTGCGGCGTAAAACTAAACTCACTCACTCACCAATTAGTAAGTAATGAAGATATCATTCTTAGGTGTTTACTTGCTTTAAGGGCAAGTGAGTGATAGTGAGTGATTATGGTTTTACGCCTCTTTTAGCAACATTCCAGCAATATCACGGCGGGGGACACCAGAAATGGGCTTCACACATAGTACCCGTGTGGGAAATCAAACCCGGGTCTTCGGCGTGACGAGCGAACGCTTTAACCACTGGGCTACCCCTACGCCTCGAGTTTGGAGATGGAGGTCATGCTCACGTGAGTACGTGATTTGAGGTTAACGCCGCATTGAACAGTACTTCACGTCGTGTCTGTTTTATGGAGGAGGAAATCCCGGTGTTACGCCTGTCTTAGCTACCCCTCCGTGAAACCTTCGATCGCGGTTGCTGATAACAAGAAACAAATTATTGATTGCTACGAACAATCATGGGATTCTGGTATGCCCCAGTTATTTAAATCTACACAACGTTTCTTCCTCTTTAAGAGAATCAAGCTGGGGATTATTCATTATCGCAGAGAGATCGCTAGCGCGAACAATGCATTAACCAACATGGAATAAATAAGCCAGGAATGGTCGATGAGGTTCTGCTGACAGAATTATGAAAAATTCGCAATTACTAGCTGGGGATCGTTACAAATCCACGTGAAGATCTTACTGATACGTCGATCAATATATACAAGCATACGATCACCCTCAGCTCGCTGAGAATTGGGGGTGGGTGTGGGGGTGGGTAGTTCGCACCAGTGGCTTCATTTTAAAAAAAGGTTTAATTTCTCCCCCCTTGAAGATATCACTGTTTGATAAATCTACAATGTTATTATGCATTGTGTAATAACATCGCGTACTGCCGGAACTATTTGCACTCGGTCACATGACCAAAGTAACGTGATCAAAACAAAATGTCGGCTGTCATTTCACAACACATCTCGACGTCGCGATATTCAACTGTATTTTGCTAGGTTACTTGCAATAGCATTTATACCAAAACAATAATATATTGGTTGAAGTCTTTTGGTCCCTTTTTCATACCCCTTGTTTATTTAAAAAATCAAATTAAATAGACTAATATTGACAATCATAAACGAAATGTATTCATACGCGTGACTCTCTTGTGACGGCGTAATGCACTCGTTCTGTAAGTTGAGTTCTGAGATATTATTTTGCTAATGTTGGGTGAGTTATGAATAAAATTAAATAAATGCTCGTGAATTGTACTGGTATCAAACCATTCACTTGTTTCATAAATATGGTATTACACAGGACATCGTTTAGTATTCTGTATGTATTTAATGTAGTCAAGGGCAATATATGAAAACACATACAGATTGTGTCACGTACTTTCAGATCGTAGTAACCTGTGAAGGTCCGGGTTAGAATATGCTGGTTTTAAGAAGCTGTAAATCGTAAATTCAACGTAGATCGATGCCGTTCCTAACCTAATTCCTTCCTTCAGGTGAACCCGTAAAGATCTGGGTTAGAATATTGGCCTTCAGTAACCCATGCTTGTCGTAAAAGGCGACTAACGGTATCGGATGGTCTGGCTCGCTGATTTGGCTGACACATGTCATCGGTTCCTAATTGTGTAGATCGATGCTCATGCAGTCGATCACTTTATTGCCTGGTTCATACTGGAATCGCTATTTTTGGTTTGTTTTACAATGGGAATGCACATTAAGTGAAACACCGAGAACAAGTGGGGTTGGTCTAAGTTAACGATCATTACGTACCGCACGTGCATTTGTTTCACTGTTCCAACTACTGCGCTTACCCCTTGTAATACAAACCAGTAATAGAGATTTGAAACTATGATCGTTTCTTAAAAAACTTTTATCCTAAGATGAATAAAATTCTGAGATTTAAATGTTCAATTGGCAAGGTAAAATTATGAGGATTCGCAATATTAATTTCACTTTACTTGGTTTACCTTTTGGTTTAAAGTGAAATTCATCGGTACATGTTCACTGCAAACAGACTATAGTGCGTGTGGCTCAAAAGCGGACCGATGAATTGCAATCTAACTAAAAAACTAATAAACATATAATACTCAATGAAACGCTGATCATAAGCAAAATATCAGTGATTTGAATCTGTGATTTGTTTGCAGAATTTATGTCCTAAAATTAAAAAAGTTGTTTAACAAACTATCATTAAAATATTGACAGGTGTTAGAGAAGCATGTGCACAAGTGCCGACAACGTTATTGATTCATTAACCTGTGCTGTGCCGTCTCCATCCTTTCTCGCACACCTGGCTGTCCCTCTCTCTGCACTCCTCCCTCGTAACAAATAGTGAACTGTGTCGATATTTTAATGATAGTTTGTTAAACAACTTTTTTATTTTTAGGACATATATTCTACAAACACCTCTCAGAGTTGGTCTGACGTTTTCATTATGATCAGTGTTTCATTGAGTATTTTATGTTTATGAGTTTTCGAGTTAGATTGCAATTCATCGGTCCGCTTTTGAGCCAAACGGACTATATAGGTAATTGTTCCTTCTTAATAGGGGCGGTGTGGTAGCCAAGTGGTTAAAGCGTTCGCTCGTCGCGCCGAAGGCCCGAGTTTGATTCCCCACATAGATACAATGTGTGAAGCCTATTTCTTTTGTACCCCGCCGTGATATTGCTGGAATATTGCTAAAAGCTGCGTAAAACCGAACTCATTTAGTCATTCCTTCATAACACAAGCTTTACGTTTTGCCCGGTGAAATGCACGTGCAGCATGTAAAGCACGCAATATTACAACCACCACTGCTGCCCAAGGAAGCGGAACTAGCGCTCTCCGGAAATGGCCGAGAGGGCCCGAGTGGCAGTCGCTAAACATCGTTTATTTAGTGGCTGAGCGAGATATGAAGCATCAAAAGGCAGCGCTGAAGGATATACTTACACTCCGTTTGGCTAAAAAGCGGACCGATGAAGTGCAATCTAACTCTGTGATTTATTTGCAGAATATATGTACTAAAATTAAAAAACTTGTTTAACAAACTATCATTAAAATGTTGACACAGTTCACTATTTGGTACGAGGGAGGAGAGCAGAGAAAGGGACAGCCAGAGAAGCACATGCACAAGCCGATTAAGCTATTGATTCATTAATCTGTGCTGTGCCGTCTCCATCCTTTCTCGCACACCTGGCTGTCCCTCTCTCTGCACTCCTCCCTCGTAACAAATAGTGAACTGTGTCAATATTTTAAAGATAGATTGTTAAACAACTTTTTTATTTTTAGGACATAAATTCTGCAAAAGCTTCACAGAGTTAGTCTGATGTTTTGATTATGATCAGCGTTTCATTGAGTATTTTATGTTTATTAGTTTTCGAGTTAGATTGCAATTCATCGGTCCGCTTTTGAGCCAAACGGACTATACAATGGCACGGTGCGTGAGGTAACTAAGAGTGGAGGTGTGATGATAAAGCGATGATGGTCGCTGATGAATAATTGGGTCTGTTGGTCGGGTTTAATGCCACCGTAAGATGAGCTCTTGTAAGGGACGGCAGTTTGGTTAGTGCAGTCATTAGACGGATCCGGATTGTGGAAAATGATCAAGGCTTCGGGGAGAATATCTTTTGATTCCCTTCCAAACCATTACATAATATCTGTAGATTAGGTGCCTGGCTCTGAGGGTGTGGGTTCGAATCCCGGGTGGGACTCAACCAAACGAAAGTACTAGAATCTGTACTTTACTGAGAAAGTGTAATCCCAAATATAACATGAGTAGTAGTAGTAGTAGTAGTAGTAGTAGTGGTGGTAGTAGTAGTGGTAGTAGTGGTGGTGGTGGTGTAGTGGTAGTGGTAGTGGTAGTGGTAGTGGTAGTGGTAGTAGTAGTACTGATAGTAGGTAGTAGTAGTAGTAGTAGTGGTGGTGGTGTAGTGGTAGTAGTAGTAGCAGTAGTAGTAGTAGTAGTAGTAGTGGTAGTGGTAGTAGTAGTAGTAGTAGTAGTAGTAGTAGTAGTAGTAGTAGTGGTAGTAGTAGTATTGGTAGTAGTAGTAGTGGTAGTAGTAGGTGGTAGTGGTAGTAGTAGTGGTAGTGAGTGGTAGTAGTAGTAGTGGTAAGTAGTGGTAGTGGTAGTAGTAGTAGTAGTAGTAGTGGTAGTAGTAGTAGTATTGGTAGTAGTAGTAGTAGTATTGGTGGTAGTAGTAGTAGTAGTAGTGGTAGTGGTAGTGAGTAGTAGTAGTAGTGGTAGTAGTAGTAGTAGTAGTAGTGGTAGTAGTAGTAGTAGTAGTAGTAGTAGTAGTAGTAGTAGTAGTAAGTAGTAGTGGTAGTGGTGGTAGTGGTAGTGGTAGTAGTAGTAGTAGTGGTAGTAGTAGTAGTAGTAGTAGTAGTAGTAGTAGTAGTAGTAGTAGTAGTAGTAGTAGTAGTAGTAGTAGTAGTAGTTGTGGTAGTAGTAGTAGTAGTAGTGGTAGTAGTGGTAGTAGTAGTAGTAGTAGTAGTAGTAGTAGTGGTAGTAGTAGTAGTAGTAGTGGTAGTAGTAGTAGTAGTAGTAGTAGTAGTAGTAGTAGTAGCAGCAGCAGCAGCAACAACAACAACAACAGCAGTAGCAGATGATCGGAATTTCGACCCTCGACCGCTTCATACCAAAATATGAGTGGGCTATGCATCTTTAACAATGGTATTGTACCTCAGTGAGCTGGTACTATAAAACCGGTCAGGATGAGAAAACGTTACAAGAACATTTTGACTGAGTCGTGGTGTTTTCATAAAGAATAGTATTCTATAGTGGAACGAGTTAATTTAGCTCACATATGGGGGTAATTGATGACGGAAAGTTGTCAGTGGGGACGGAAAGGGACGAGTGTAGGCGGAAAGTGACGAGTGTAGGCGGAAAGTGACGAGTGGGGACGAAAGCTACTGACCTTGAGAAGAGATCGATGTTGAAGAAGACATATTCGCCGTTGTCGAAGTTAAGCTCATGGGCTTTTATCATGATGTTTCTGACCGAATCAGGTGATGCACACAGCACGATAACTGAAAACAGAAACGCAACACGTAAGTTGAAGCAGTTACATATGACATGAGGCAGTCCCGTCAAACAGATCCGGAACATCTCGGAACACCTGGCAGTGAAATCCCTGTCAATGTGTCCCTGTCAACCCGGATACCCCTCGTGCTAGACAGTTGTGTGAACGAACCATCACGAGGACACTGTTTCCCCAAAATTCGCTAATCTGGTTTGTGTGTTCAAACGAATTCCCACAGCGGTAGTTTCCCTCATGAGTATAATAACTCATCGAGAAAGCATGCATCTATTTTGTGGCTAAATAGGTTGCTGACGCCGCAATTTTCCAGCTATTTGGCGGCAGTCTTTACATAATGGTGTCTAGACCAGTGATTGATATCGTGAGCATCGATATACGACGTAACGTAATTGGAATACGATGACATGTGTCAAACAAGTCAGAGTGCCTGACCACCCGATCCCGTTAGTCGCCTCTTACGACAAGCATTGGTTGCTGATGACCATTTCCTACCCGAATCTTTACGGGTATCGTTAAGCTTGTTGGACGGAGAATATCCCAAACTCTCGCTTACTATAGTCTGTTTGAAGTGAAAACGTGCCGATGAATTTCACCTTAAACAAAACGGTAAATCAAATTATGTGAAATTATGATTGCGAATCCTCATAATTTTACCTTGCCAAATGAACATTTAAATCTCAGAATTTTATTCAACTTAGGATAAAAGTTGTTTAACAAACGATCATAGATTCAAATCGCTATTATTGGTTTGTATTACAAGGGGGTAAGCGCAGTAGATGGAACAGTGAAACAAATGCAGTGCGGTACGTGATGAGCGTTAACTTAGACCAACCCTACTTGTTCTCGGTGTTTCATCTAATGTGCATACCCCCTTGTAATACAAACCAATAATAGCGATTTGAAACTATGATCGTTTGTTAAACAACTTTCATCCTAAGTTGAATAAAATTCTGAGATTTGAATGTTCAATTGGCAAGGTAAAATTATGAGGATTCGCAATCTTAATTTCGTTTTAATCGATTTACTTTTTTATTTAGAGTGAAATTCATCGGTACGTTTTCACTGCAAACAGACTTTACATGTACTTACAAATATAAACAAAATTTCACAGATGTCTTCCATTGGTGACAGAAAACATATTGCAACAAATTCAAACACTAATCAGGTAAAAACATCGTCTTACTGATGTCGTTTAGGCGACTCTTACTTACTCCCAGAGAATTGCAACTTCACACAAACACTCTCTCCCCCGAGACAAAGTAAGTTAGTTTTGTTTAACCACGTTCGGCTGATCTTTCCACTTACACACTAACAACGTTAGCATAAATCTTCTCACATTGTCTCAAGGAGCAAACTAAGAGCACGTCGCACATGTCGGTTAAGAATCCGGACAAGGGCGCAACCTTTTAGACTAAGTACCCTTATTGAGCGTTTGGAACAAATCTTCTAATCCTCGCCCAAGTAATCTGGTTACGTCTGTAAGTGCGTATCCATCAAACGAGGATGGTATACCAGACACTCGCCAGGCGCTAAGGGTTGTCAGGATTGAATGAAGAACAATATTTACCTAGATGCTAGGAGCTGCTGTTGACCTTTATTATGTTTATAGGGAAGTTTTTAACTGTTTGCACTTGGTAGAAGTAAACTTATTAAACACAGCTTCGTCCGGCTACTGGAAGAGCAGCCCTTGTTCGTTCATATATTTCACACCGTGCATCATATTTTTAATACATGATCTTTTCACAGATATCTTATCAAATTCAAGAACAACAAATTTCAGCCATATTTGGTAAAACTTGTGACTGTACATTAGAGGTTTCAAATCTACTCATGGGTGACGATACTTGACAGACCTATAACTGTACATTAGAGGTTTCAGATCTACTCATAGCTTAGGTGAAGATACTTGATAGACCTGTGACTGTACATTAGCAGTTTCAAATCTACCCATAGGTGAGGATACTTGACATAGGTGAGGACTTGATAGACCTGTGACTGTACATTAGCGGTTTCAAATCTACCCATAGGTGAGGATACTTGATAGACCTGTGACTGTACATTAGCGGTTTCAAATCTACCCATAGGTGAGGATACTTGATAGACCTGTGACTGTACATTAGCGGTCTCAAACCTACTCATAGGTGAGGATACTTGATAGACCTGTGACTGTACATTAGCGGTTTCAAATCTACTCATAGTTGAGGATACTTGATAGACCTGTGACTGTACATTAGCGGTTTCAAATCTACCCATAGGTGAGGATACTTGATAGACCTGTGACTGTACATTAGCGGTTTCAAATCTACTCGTCAGTGAGGATACTTGACAGACCTATGACTGTAAATTCGCTGATTCAAATCTTCTCATAGGTAACCATACGTGATAAACCTTTGATTTCAAGTTTCCAAATGTACGTTTGAAACATCAAGATTGAAATCTACGATATATCAAATATCGATACCTTTGCGTTCATGAAAAGCACATGTGATTCAGTTTAGAGAAGTCCAACATAGTATAAAAGGTCATAGCAATAAATCATGTCACTGCTCAATTCAGCTCTTTATATCCAGAATCTTGCCTCGAGGGACAGATGATAAGTTTAACCATTTCAGATAGGAAGTTATGCTTTGTTACTACTAAATTACACAATAATGTTCGATATATTTTGGATGACACAGTACCCGTGAAGATCCGGGTTAGAATATTGATCTTCAGTAACCCATGCTTGTCGTAAGAGGCGACTAACGGGATCGGGTGGTCAGGCTCGCTGACTTGGTTGACACATGTCATCGGTTCCCAATTGCGTAGATCGATGCTCATGCTGTTGATCACTGAATTGTCTGTTCCAGACTCGATTATTTACAGACCGCCGCTATACAGCTGGAATATTGCTGAGTGCGGCGTAAAACTAAACTCACTCACTCACCCACTTGATGACACATAGCGTATGTCCTATTGACTCACGAGTTTATTCAGCAGGTTTGTTTGATTATTTGATTGTTTGTTTGTTTGTCTCTCTCTGAACTCCCCATCCAAGCGACTAGAACCTATAACTAATCGAGTCTTGACCAGACAATCCAATGATTGATTCGACCAGTAAGGCCTCACGACATTGTGGCACGATGACACGCACACAACCAATCCACAAAACCTGATCCCTGATCCAGTGCGGACCCTTGGCGATCAACACACAGGCCCAACTCCAACCCGAACCCCCAAGAGTGTCTCAGCATTTACCGAGTATCAAACGTTAAATACATCATGGCCCTCGTCTGTCTACAGCAACGTCGCTCCACCAAACAACGTTGTATGCCAACATGACCACTTCAACGTCAGTCAACGCACCTAACCATCTTGAAGAATTCCTTGGATACTGAATAGTGTCAGTAATAAACTAACTCAATTTGTTTTTCACATATCTAAAATCTCCCTACCGGCTTTCTATTCCTGGGGGTATTCCCAGCCATTATTTATCATTACCGCGTCCGTGTTGAGAGCTGAGGGATCACTATATGACCACAAGGCGCCAGAGACGGTCTGGCCGCTAATGGACTGGTCACTTCTATCTAAATAGGATAGCCATATGTACGTGGCCATTGCGGGCTTGCCAGTCTTATATATATCAAAACGAGAACTATCTTCAATGGTATTGCTCATTAAGCCCCCATTGCCACGAGATTCAGGAGAGGTGGCCGCGTACATTCGTCGCTCATCTTCATACGTTTCCAAACAAAAATAATTCCAATGAATCCAACATTATTGAAATATATTTATCTTTTCTAAAATAATTGTTCAACAAAAATACTGGAAAGAAGTCATAAGGATATTAAATATGCCAACTACGAAGAAAGTGTTATCCCAAATATAACATATGTTACATTTGACCACTTTCTAAAATGGCATTGTGTATTTCATAGCTTTCGGCCGTGGGAGCCGTGCCAAATAACACTTATCAGAGGGGTACACAAAGTCCGCAGTCTAGACTACCAGTTGTCCGACTTCCATTTGTGTGGAAGCCGCGGTGGCTGAGCGGTCTAGGCGTCTGACTTTGTGTGCTGGCGTTTTTTTAGGTGCCTGACTCTGAGGGTGTGGGTTCGAATCCCGGATGGGACTCAACCCAAAAGAAAGTACTAGAATCTGTACTCTACTTAGAAAGTGTAATCCAAAATATAACATATGTTACATAAGGATATTGTTTGCGGATTGTCTTGTACGATACGGTATTGAAGAAAACCGTCTTCAATATAATAAAATGTCTGTTTGAATCACCACCTGAATAGTATCCTAAGTTAGGGCCAGTGAGTTATGTTTTGTGAAAAGGCATAACGGGTTTTGTCAGCTTTCTTTTCACATTCGTTAACTTATGGCATCAAGGTTAATCTTACAAAGTTGTTTCTGGAATAACCTGTCTCTCTCCAGATTCTACCATTAGTTGTTCGTTATCATTAAGTCCGTGGTCTGCTAGATTCCTATTTTCACTGATGTGTTTGCTGTTTATTTGTTTAACTCCACAGTGTCCCCGCCTTCTGTTGGTGGTCTGTAAATGCACGAGTCTGACCCATACAATCCAGTGGTCGACATCATGAGCACCGATCTACGCATTAGATACATAATGACATGCATCAACCAAGTCAACGAGCCTGACCACCCGATCCCGTTAGTCCTACGACAAGCAGGGGTTACTGAAGACCAATTCTAACCTGGATCGGAACCAGTCACATTCAGAAATGAACATTTTGTTGTTTGGGAACAGTTTTGTGTCAAACCATCGATAATCTATTTTTCGTTTTACTGAGAACACCACACTCAGTCCTTCGCCTGAAACGCCATTATGAACTTCCACACTCATCTCCAACTGTACAAATGTTAGATCCGGGTTAGAATTGATCTTCAGTAACCCATGTTTGTAGTAACAGGCGACTAACGGGATCGGGTGATCAGGCTCGCTGGCTTGGTTGACACATGTCATCGTATCCGAATTGCCTAGAT